TTTTCGCGAATTGTTTTTAATGCCATACTTCTGTTTGTAATCTACAGGAGAGTCACTCACCCTCATGACCATTAGGTGTAGAGTCGTTTTGTTTTCAGTGTTTGCTCATTTCCCTCTTTAACTGCTCTAGGACTGAAAATGTAATCTCTCACGTTCTGATTTTGAGGAAGCCTGTTACTAGGCTGGGTTCTCTAGAGATACTGCACTGAGAGGAGATAAGAGACCTGAGACTGATCGGTAATCATGAGGAATTGGCTGCTGTGGTTGTGGAGGCTGAGAAGCCCCAGGCGGCTGGGGGAGCCAGTGAGTCTTCCTCCAGCCGCGAAACGGCAGAGCCCGCGTGTGAGTTTCAGTCCTGATTCCAAGGCAGCTGAAGATGACGTTCCAGGCAGAAGACTGTGTGGGCAGGGAGAGCGAATTCTCCCTTACTCAGATTTTTTTGGTTCTGTTCAGGCCTCCAATTGGATGAGGCGGATTTTTGTTGGGGAGAGCCACCTGCTTTACTCAGATGTTAGGCTCATCCAGAAACGCCTTCACAGATGATCCCGTAATAACGGTTAAGCAGATATCTGGGTATTCCATGGCCCAGTCAAGTTGACACATGAAATGTAGCCATCACAGGGCCTAAATGTACTGAAATCTATCTGCTTGCACTGACCTTTGTTTCTCTGCGTCCTTGTGAAAAGCCCTAGCATGCATGAGTATTACAGTCATCCGAACTTCACTCTGTTGATGCATGTGACATTGCTATTTGACCAGCACCGAATTAAAGTTGGATTGAATTAAGTGATGGTTTCTTTATATTTGCAGAGAAGGATTTATAGTACTTTCTTCCAGTTTAGTTGATTGTGGCTTGTTAATACTGAATCCATCAGTGGGTGTTTTTGTATGCTTCATTTTCTTCTATCCTTTCTGTCTTGGAGGGGTGTTTTAATACATGTGCTTAATCATTTTGACGAACTCTCAAATCTCTGGAGTGGCTAGTTGGCAGCAGAGGTTAACAAATTCCCGAGCAATTTACAAAAGCCACATTGATTGGCATGGAATTTGGTCAGCAAGTTGCTTCTATTAGAGTATGTCAGTGAGCTGCTGAGGTGAGAGGGAAGTGTATTTGTACTATCAGCTTCTTACCCTTTGTATGACTTGAGACAAACCCTTTGACTTCATTTCTAATGCCATCAAAACATGCACTACACCTAGGGGGCTGCTGGGAAGATTACATAAAATAAGAGTGTGTACAAAAAGCACTGCTGAGTGCATTACCTAGTTTATTTTAATTGACAAGACCTTCCCCTCTGGTAAATAATTGTTTTTATGGCTTATTTAGTTGATGTAGAATGGTGTTCTTGTCGTGCACCTGTTGTAACTCAAGTCTACTTCTCAAGGAGAGAAAGTATCACTTGACCTGTGGTTTTATCTGTTGTTCTCAAATTGATTAATTCTAGGTTGAGGCCTGTTGATTCAGGCCTGATTTTAAAAAAAAACTTGACCAAATTAGAGCAAAGTAGGTAGTTGGGTTAAAGAAAATGTTTAAATGACAAGGTATTCAAAGAAATTCAGGATGTCAGTCTGAGATCCTAATGTGGGCTCTCTTCTGCAGTCTAGGTCACATACTTACTGTTCTGTGGCCCAGGGGCATCGTGGTGGCCCTCCTTGCAGCAGACTCTCAGATGATTGTGCGCTTCTACACATTAGCAGCCTGATTGGGTTTGAGCATTTATTTAAAACACTGAAACTTGTTGTTTTGACTTAGACTACATTCTTGGGGAGCAAAGGTACTATCAGAGGTTTTTTTGGTTTTGTTCCTTTTTTTTAATTTTATTTTATTATGTTATGTTAGTCACCATACATTACATCATTAGTTTTTGGTGTAGTGTTCCATGATTCATTGTTTGCGTATAACACCCAGTGCTCCATGCAATACGTGCCCTCCTTAATACCCATCACTGGGCTATCCCATCCCTCCACCCCCCCCTTCCCTCTAAAACCCTCAGTTTGTTACTCAGAGTCCATAGTCTCTCATGGTTTGTCTCCCACTCTGATCCCCCCCGCCTTCATTTTTCCCTTCCTACTATCTTTTTTTTTTTTTTTTAACATATAAAGTATTATTTGTTTCAGGGGTACAGGTCTGTGGTTCATCAGTCTTAACAATTTACAGCGCTCACCATAGCACATACCCTCCCCAGCGTCTATCACCCAGCCACCCCATCCCTCCCACCCCCCACCACTCCAGCAACCCTCAGTTTGTTTCCTGAGAT